CTCTTGGAGGCCTCTTGGGCGATCTTGGGAGCCTCTTGGGCCGTCTTGAGCCGTCGGAATGCCGAGAAGAAGCAAATTCCAAAATCCTTCGAAAACCTAAGGAAAATCAATGATTGTGGCCTTTTCTGGCCCTCCTGGAGGACCTCTTGGAGGCCTCTTGGGCCGTCTTGGAGGCCTCTGGGGAGCCTCTTGGGCAGTCTTGGGCAGTCTTGGACTCTCTTGGGCCGTCTTGGAGGCCGTTTTGGACCATCTTGGGCGGACTTGGAGGCCATCTTGGACCATCTTGGCCATCTTGGAGGCCATCTTGGACCATCTTGGAGGATTTGTGTTCTGGCTTGAGCTCCATGAGATTCTTTCCGGGTGGCCGGTGGGACGGGCCGAAGCCCCAGGGGAGTTCTTTTGAAAAAAGAACCCAAACCACAAGCCATATCGTTCAGCACGCCAGGCACCCCTGCGATGAATCGACAAGGGTGCCCGGCGTGCTAGACCCTTTCGGATTTGGTTTTGGTTCTTTTCCGAAAGAACTCCCCCTGGGGCTTCGGCCCGTCCCGCCGGCCATCCGGAGAGACGCGAACAGGTGGTTGCAAAGGTTTTTCCTGCTCCAGACGGCTCCAAGATGGCCTATGGCCCAAGATGGCCTCCAAGTTCGCCCAGAAGGTCCAAGATGGCCTCCAAGACGGCCTGAGAGAGCTCACGATGCCTTCAAGTTCGTCCAAGAAGCCTCCAAGACGACCCAAGATGGCTCCAAGATTGCCTAAGACTGCCCAAGAGGTCCCCAAGAGGCCTCCAAGACGTCCTCCAGGAAGGCCCGAAAGGGCCACAATCATTGATTTCCCAATGTTTTTTGCAGGATTTGGGCATTTTCTTCTTATCATCTCTCCGACGGCCCAAGACGGCCCAAGAGGCCCCCAACATCGACCCAAGAGCGCCCAAGAGGCCTCCAATATTGGCCCCATGACAGCCTAAGAGGCCCCCCAAAGGGCCCCAGCAAGGCCTCACGACTGCCCAAGATGCCTCCAAGACGGCCAAGATGGCCTCCAAGACGGCCAAGATGGCCTCCAAGATGCCTCCAAGACGGCCCAGATGGCCGTCAAGACGGCTCAGATGGCCCCAAGATGCACCCAAGACGGCCCCAGATGGCCTCAAGGTGGCCTTAGACTGCCCAAGAGGCCCGCAAGAAGGCTCCAAGACGGCCCAGGAGTCCTCCAAGACGTCCTCCAGGAAGGCCCGAAAGGGTAAAAACGGCCTCCAGACGGCGAAGATGACCTTCAAGATGCCTCCAAGACGGCCAAGATGGCCGCCAAGACGGCGAAGATGGCCCCAAGATGCACCCAAGACTGCCCAAGATGGCTTCAAGATGGCCTGAGACGGCCCAAACGGCCCGCAAGAGGCCTCCAAGACGGCGCACGAGCCCTCCAAGACGTCCTCCAGGAAACCCGAAAGCTCGGAAACCACCTGGTCCCATAGCTCGCCCGACTCCGTGTTCCCCGAAAGCTTTCAACCTCACTCGGGGAACGCGTGGCCCGATAGCTTGGCCAATCTCAAACCCAACTTTCGGCCACGCAGGCGCTTCCAAAAAGGCAGGGGGCGGCGGTGATTCGCCGTAGGCGTCTTCGATCACGCCAATATTTCAATATGCGCTGATGACTCCTATCCGCCCCCGTATGCTGTTCCCAGATGCGCCAAGGTAGCGCCCAGACGTACCGACGCGGCTCCGTCATATCCGATTACGATAGAGAGGGGGCCGGCGGCAGGGGGCGAAGCCCTTAAGGATTAAGTTGTCCAATAGGCGCGCCTTGCGACGGCATGGTCTCCTCCTCCTCCTCCTCCTCCTCCTTCGCCTCTTCCTCCTCCTGCTCGTAGCACAACTGGTGGCCCTCAGGGCTCTGCTGGTGGCTCTCGGAGCTTTGTCTGCGGCCCGCGTAGCACAGCTTGTGGACCTCGTAGCAAAGCTTGTGGCCCGCCAAGCTCAGGAGGTGAGCCTCGAAGATCTGTTCGTGGGCCTCGCAGCTCAGCCCATGACTCTTGGAGTCCTGCTTGTGGCCCTCGTGGCTCTTCTGGCGGCCCTTGCAGCCCCGCAGGTGGCCCTCGCGGCTCTGCGCCTTGCCCTTTGAGTTCGGTTCGGGGCCCTTGTCGCTCAGCTGGAGGCCCGCCGAACTCTGCTGGTGCCCGTCGAACCTCCGCAGGTGTCCCTTGTGGCTGTGACCGTCGCAGCTCAGCCTGTGGTTCTCGCAGCTCAGCTCGGGAGGTGGCCCTGGCACCACAGCTACTGGCTGGCCCTCGGCGCTCGGCGGGTGGTTCTCGAAGTTCTGCCCGTGGCCCTCGTAGCTCAGCGGGTGGCTCTCGAAGCTCCCGCGGCACTCGGCAGGAAGCGGAAGAATTAGAGACCTCGGCACGCGCGTGCGACGTGCGCGCGGAAACCCGTCGCGAACACTTGCCTATCTTCGCATCCGAAACCGGGTGCGGCCCCCAGCGGAGAAAGCTCCGCTATTCTTGACATGTTCTGGGCCACCGCGTTGCTCGCGAGGTGGGATCGACGCTGGAGCAACCAGCACGCGCCCCGATCCTTATGGCGCTCCGCGTCACTAAAAAACGTCATGCGAAGCTACTGAGGCGAAAAGTGGAGGAGGGGCCAAGATGGGGAGGAAGGAGGGGCGACCCTGGCGGCAACCACGTGCCGTGCAGCGCCCGAACTTGAAATCTGTGTTTCGCCTCGCGATACCTAGGTGCAGCGGCTTGTAACCTCCGAAGCAAGCCCTGGTTCATTGCTGATCCGTCGGCATGATTGCTCAACGAAGACGCCCACAACCACCTCCCAATAGCGAACACTCCCGCGAGTTACGTGGTTCACCAATATCGCCAAGACGATGTACTGCGGCCCAAGGGGATGGATCCCGCATGTGACCTTTTCTCCTCGCCCATTTTTTCCTCCTAAGCCTGCTTCCCTTCCCCCCCTTCCTCCCGATTCCTCCCCCCCTTTCCTCAACCCTTCTCAAAATCATCCCTCTCCCGCCCCTCCTCCTCCTCCTCCTGCTCCTCCTCCTCCTCCTGCTCCTCCTCCTCCTCCTCCTCCTCCTCCTCCTCAACCTCCCCGCCCCGTCGTGCTTCTCTCCTTCTTCTCCTCCTCCTCCTCCTCCTCAACCCTCTTCTCCTCTTCCCCTTCCTCCTGTTGCACATGCTACTCTTCATCCTTCGACACCTACCTCCTCCTCCTCCTCCTCCTCCTCCTCCTCCTCCTCCTCCTCCTCCTCCTCCTCCTCCTTCGCCTCCTCCTCCTCTCCTCCCTCCTCCTCCTCCTCCTCCTCCTCCTCCTCCCCCTCCCTCCCTCTCTTTACCTCCTCCTCCTTCGCCTCCTCCTCCTCCTCCTGCTCCTCCTCCTCCTATGCCTCCTCCTCCTCCTTCGCCTCCTCCTCCTCCTCCTCCTCCTCCTCCTCATCATCATCATCCTCCTCCTCCTCCTCCTCCTCTTGCTCATCCTGCTGCCGCTGCTTCCCTTCGTTCCCCCTCCTCCGATCCGCCTCTTCCCACCCCTCACATCCCTCGTCATGTTCGTCATTATCCCCACCATATACTCCGCGTACTCCTGCTCTCCCGCCTCCTCCTTCCCCACCCTCCTCATGTTCCTTTTCTTCCTCCTCCTCCTCCTCCATCCACCTCTCCTCCTCCTCTTCCTCCTCCTCCGCATTGCCCCTCCACCTTTTATCGTCTGGCTCCACCTCGTTCTCCACCTCCTCATCTTCAGACAAAGACGACGACATCACAAAAGCGGTTGTGATGCGTTCGCGTCGGAACCGACGCCTGCAGCGACCGGGAGGCACCGCACCCTTTGGGAACGAATGCGCCTACATAATTTTACACTGGCAGCGTGGGAGGTGGAGGGGGGGAGGCGGCAAGAGCACGTCCTCGAGGGGGGGGGGAGGAGCAGCAGGAGAAAGAGAGAGAGAGAGAGAGCAGAGAGAGGGACTGGACGCCCTCGAGGGGAGGAGGAGGAGCTGGAGGAATATCCGAGATCCTCAGGAGGAGCTGCAGGAGGGCGAGGGAAGGCAGGGGGGAGAGGCGAAGGGGAAGGGTACCAGGAACGGGGGATACAGTCGGCCTCCCAGGAGCCCACGAAAGTGCGGCAGTTTCGCAGATCGCACCCCCCCAGGGGACGGCGAGGTCTCGTGGTGATCTGCGTAAGACGCACCTCCGCTGGGCCTCTCAGGAGCCCTCGAAAGTGGCGGCAGTTTCGCAGAATGCAGCCCCCCATCATGAACGAATTTCATCTTTGGCGCAAACAGCGCCTGGGTACAAGAGGAGGGCTAGAGGAACAACCACGGAATAACCTCAGGAACAGCGAGCCCCTTCCTGTACCCAATTTGATCCTTATTGCAGCGTCTCGACTGTACCTGGATTGGGGGATAGAGATAGAGGGGACGGAGGAAGCGGCTAAGTTGGCACGTGGGCAGGGCCATCCCAAACATCTAACGTTTTGAATCAAACACGGCTGTTCCGTTTCGTCGGTTTCGGCCCTCACTGGGCCCTGGGACCATCAAAAACGACTCGTAATGAAAGGCTGGCCCGTGGGGGCAGGGTCGGAACTACCGGGGACTCCGTATAAACAAACGAAGACAGCGGATGACTGGGAAGAGAGGGAAGTGGAATCCGAGGGCCATTAACCCCAAACGTGCGTGTTCAGGCCGAGCGCAAAAAAAACAACACACACGCTTGAAGTAGTTGAACTGTTGCCCCTTTCTCATCAATCTCTGGTGCTTCTCGTTTTCTGCCCATATGTCGGCACCAGATTGTTGCGACGTCAGCCCAGGGAGTTGGTCAGCCTTCCCCCCCTCGCCCAAGGAATCACGCTTGCATCCCAGGCCAGGACGGACGTGGTATGATAACAAGGATGGTGAGGTGGGGAGAAGACTTGACAATGATAATAACTGCGGGGGCAGTAGTGACAAATGGCTAGAATAACTGCGTCTCGAGATCAGGGCGCTGCAAGGCGTGCGAGCGCCGGCTCAGATGGAGGGGCGCTTCTGTCGGCACGTGGCGGGCTGGGCAGCCAAAATCTGGGCACGGCGAGGGGGCTGGCGCCGAGAAGGGTACGGCGCTGCAGACTGCCCGTGACAGGTCGACCTCGCTGCCAACCGAAACGACGCCTCCATCGCTCCCTTCAAACCTTAACTACTGCTGCTGATGCTCCTCCCTAGACATCCAATGTCGCATTTGTGTGACATCGTGGCTTCCCAGAAATCTGGAACCCTTCCAGGGGACCCGCTCCGCATCATTCGTTTTTTGATGACGGCACCGTGGTCCGGAAAGGGCGCCTTGAGGCCGAGACCATCCCAAAACCTTTTGCCGTGTTTTCTTTTTGTGTCGCAGGGGCCCCCGCTCCCTTCTCAAGAACACACCTGGCAAATTGGTCGAGGGCCTGAGACCCCATGCTTCATCAGGACTGGCAGCTCCGACAGAGCTCACATTGGAAACCCTAACGCCCAGCAGGACCTGGGGCGTGAGTCGGGGGGGCCTCGGGGGATACGATTCTTCTCGATGGGAAAAAAGCAACAAAGCACGAGGCCACAGCGCGTCCCGACCTGAGGGGGAAGACTTTCGAAAACCATCCCGTCAGCTGACAGCTCAGCAATCTGTGGAGCACGCCCCGGCGGGAATGGTCCAGGTGGTCCGATGGGTCCGCTCGGCACGAATACGCTTGAGTCAGGCCTGTCCCCCTGCAGGGGGATTTTGGACAAAAAATAACAAATAAGCAAACATACGCAACAAATGCCCCCAAATACTCCAAAAATCGTCCCCAGACTATTTTTATAATATTTTTGAATGTTCCTCCTGTAGAGGGACAGGCCCGACTCAAGACTACGCAGACGGGTGCTGTACACCACTGCCGAGCCTGGCCCTGGCCAAGCACGGTGGTTGTGGTGAGCAGATGAGTGCCACTCGCGTGCATGGTCCTGCTCCCGTGCAGTTCTTCAGCGTTACACTCGGGTCGGGCATGTCCCCGTACAGGCGGACCTTGGACTCCTTGAAAACAAAAAAAGTAAAACAATGCCCCCAAATGGACAAACATTGTCACACAAATTGTTAAAACATCGTCCCCTGACTATTTGTTGAATTTTTTTCGAATGTTCCTCCTGTAGAGGGACAGGCCCGGCTTAGCGTTACACTGCTGCCCTCTGGTGCTCTCTCCGCCTCCCTGCGAACACCGCGCAGCGATGATACAACAGTGCATCAGAAGTACGCATCAAAACAGCGAACTTCGGTGGCTGGCTGGTGGGCCCCTGCTACTGTCTGGGGTATAACCCCCCTTGATGCCTCACCAAAGAAGGCCCGGCCAAATGGCAGCATGCCTCATAGGGGGCTGAACTTGAACTTCACTGTGCCGCTAAAGTGATGTAGGGTTAGGTCGGGCCTGTCCCCTTACAAGGGAATTTTGGACGAGAGAAAAACTGCAAATAGTCAAACAAATATGCCGAAATGCGCAAGAATAGTCAAACATCGTCCTCAGAGCATTTACTATTTTTGAATTTCCCTCCTGTAGAGGGACATGCCCGACTTAAATGCAGGGAGGGCGGTCAAACACGCTCGCCACAAACGGCTGGCATACCACGGATATGTGCTTCGCTGCTACACGCTTGTCCTGCTGGGCCAGGCCTGCCCCCTTCCCGTGCTAGGCGCCCCCTTCCATTCCCTCCCCTTTCCCCCCCCCCCCCGCTCCTCACTGTCCTCCCCCCTTTCCCTCTCCTTTCCTCCCCCACTCCTCACTGCCCTTCCCCCTTCCATTCCCTCTCGTTTCCCTCTCCTTTCCTCCCCCCTCTCATTTCCGCCTCCCCTCACTCTCTCCTCCCGCTCCTCCTGCTGGGATCCGCCCCCCCCCGACTCCGAGTCTACGTCTGCCCCGCCTCTTCGCCGTTGCCCTTGCCGCCGTCGCTCCCGCCCTCGCCGCCGTCGTCCGCCGTCGTCCGCGTCGTCGGACGTCGTCATCGCCGACGCGAGGCCGTCATCCCCGGCGACGCCAATGCAGATGGCCGCCGAAGGCCGCCGAATTTCGCCGAAGGCCGCCGAACCCTCCGTCGTTGTCGCCGTCGGTGTCGTCGTCGTCGTCGTCGTCGTCGTCGCCGTCGTCGCCGTCGTCGTCGTCGTCGTCGTCGTCGTCGTCGTCGTCGTCGTCGTCGTCGTCGTCGTCGTCGTCGGTCGCCGCCGTCGTCGTCGTCGTCGTCGTCGTCGTCGTCGTCGTCGTCGTCGTCGTCGTCGTCGTCGTCGCCGTCGTCGTCACACGCTGTCTCCGAATCGATTCCACTGGGTCGCCGCCGCGGGGGGGCGCCGACGGGTCCGAGGGCAGCCGGGGCGGCATCGGCGCCGCCCACATCGGCAGCTGGCGGGAGAGGGGAGGCGGGAGAGGGGAGCTGGCGGGAGAGGGGAGACCGAGGGAGCCGAGAGGGACGGGGATCTGATTCGGGGGGCACAGATCGATCCGGCTCGGAAAGTGACACAGAAAGATGGAGTCTGGGGCTCTGGCTGCGATGCTCGACGATGTTTCAACCTTCTTGCTACGTTGGATCTCGGGGTCTCTTGAGGCGAGCCGACAGGGGACTGGCTCCGGGGCGGGGGCCATGACCTGAGGTCGACGATATCTCGCCGATAGATCTGCGATAGGCCCCCGATGGGGAGGCCGGAAGTGCACGGGCGAGTTGGGTCGCCCAGGTCGCGATCGGCGAGGGGTTGGCGATTGGAGGTCGATGCTTTCCTCCCAGAGCCAGTCACACACAGTCGCGCCCCTGAGAGGCAGATGTTCGTTCCGCAGGGCGTCTGGACGAACCTCTCATGGGGTCGAAGCATCACGCCTTGCCGATGTAGCGGCGACGCTGACCATGGATCGGCGACGCCAGCGTGGAGAAATTCGGGCTCCAAGGTCGAGCCGCATCGCCGGTGCAGCAGGCGATGCGGCGCGATCCTCCGACCCCGTCCACTCCGGCCCCACTTGGAATGCCTGGGCCTTCGCATTCGGCAGTGCCCACACGTCTCTGACAACCGACCACAGGTTAGAAACCTGGAACACAGAGGAATAATACGACACACACACACACCACGAAGGCATGTTCAGAAAATACGGAACGGTAACGCTGCCTTAGGAGGAAGACCACCAACTACCACTCACAGTAGTAAGGCGAACAGAAACTGATAAGACGCCTAATCCCCCTGGCAACCAATCCTCGTCGCTGGCTTCAATGATATTGCATATACGGGCTCCAGGTGTACAAGACCACGATCTTCGCGGGGTCTGCCTGCGAAAGCTTGGGGTTGCCGTGGGGCGAGTGAGAGAGAAAGAAATTCACAAAAACTTCATCCACCTAGCACCGCAGGTTTCGCCGCCTCCGTGTTAGCCCTCAGCACCGTATCTCAATTGACACTCTCGATCGTGCATCGGGGATGGCCTTCGGCACGTGCCGTCGGGCGCGATGTGGGTTTCATTCCGCGACGCTGCCTGCCGCTCCCGTGAAGGGCTCTTGCCAGTCCACGGCTCGATGAATCATAATGGCCAACGGCTCCTGCTGGCCCAGCAACTCCAGACACTGCCGTAGCGCAACTTGTCGAGGAAAGGAAGGGGGTGTCGAAAACGACGAACCACGGTATCCCTCGTCGAGGGCTTGCTGTAATCGCTGCTCGTGCGGCAAGAGGCCTGGGCTTCGACGGGGAACTTCTGACGGCACATCCGGGTGCTCCTCTGCCGCTGCGCGCCCTCGGTGCCTCGGTGGTGCTCCCGAAGACGGTGTACGTCCGCAGCGAAGCCGTCCGTGCCGACCGAAGGCTGCGTACCGTGTTGCAATGAACGCACCCGTGCCGCAGTAGCGACTCTGCGGTACCTGTCTGCCCAGAGGCATGGCATACAGGCCCTGGGGCCCCGGGGTGCTGTCCCTGCCTTTCAGGCGTGTAGCTTGAGGGGTCGTCCACGTCGCAGAGCCCCCCCCCCCACAAGGGTTGCAGGGCCCAGCCCCGTCGTCGAGGTGCTCAGCAGGAACATGCGATCGCGCAGGTTAGAACCTGGAAACGTAAAAGGGGCTAATCAAGCGCATCACGGAGAGCATGCTCAAACATGAGGGGACGGGGAACTAGCCATCAAATCGTGATGCCGAGAGATCTGGCGGCATAGACGAAACCAAACGGCCATCGTGGAGGGAGGCGGACTCGAATTGCAGGAGGTCGTCGTCAAAGGTGTCAGACTGGCCTAATCGGCACCTCCTCTGTACGAGCGCCGGCAGCTCAGTGCATGAGCAGGACGAGGGAAGCGGGGGCGGCTGGAGATACAACAGCAGGTAGTGGAGTCGTGGGACGTCCTGTTCCTCAGGCCTCCAGAGCCCTGCATGGAGGGAAGGCCCGTTTCGGGCCCTGGGGCTAACAGAAAACATCCATGGCGAGAAAGTGGACATGAGAAGGGATCGGCTGCCCCAGGGGGGGGGAGGGGGGGCACGCACAGAAAAATCTTGGAATCGGACCTCAGCCTCCCTCACCTCTGCCCCACACGTCCCCTCCTCCAATCTATGTCGTCTCCTCCTCCATCCCACGTTCGTCCTCCCTCCGTTACCGCCTCCTTGCTTCCCCTTCCTCCTCCTTCTCCTCCCAATTCTCCGCCACTCTCCTGCTCATCCTTCCGCCTAGTCCTCTTGCACCTCCTGTGTCTCCTCCTCCTCCTCCTCCTCCTCCTCCTCCTCCTGCCCCTCCTCCTCCTTCTCCTCCTCCTCCTCCTCCTCCTCATCCTTATTCCCCTGCTCATCCATCCGCCTCGTCCTCTTGCACCTCCTGTTTCTTCTCATTCTCCTCCTCCTTCTCCTCCTTCTCCCCCTTCTCCTCCTCCTCCTCCTCCTCGTTCTCCTCCTCGTTCTCCTCCTCCCCCTCCTCCTTCTCCCTCTCCTCCTCCTCCGTCCCTCCCTCCTTCACTCAGGCCACCTGGGCCCCATGGACCTGGTAGCTTTGCCAACGCTTCATGTGCCCGGCAGAGGCCGGGCCTGCGGTCTTGAGGTCGCGGCGTGCCGCGCATACGGTCGGGCTTGGAACACACCACGGCGCACGGGCCGTGGGCTGGTTCCGGGGCGCTCGCGTGCTGCCAGTCGCCCGCGGCTACTCGCCTCGGCGCGGCTGGACAAGCACGTTCCACTACTCGCAGAGTAACTGCTCGCAAATGGCCTCGATCCGACGCGAGGGATCTACGATCCACTGCGTAGAGAAAAACATGTTTTTTGCGAACGTTTGCGAGTAGGCACTATGCGAGTATGGCGGAACGCGCTCGGTGAGCGGCGGTGGAGTGGCAGCCAAGGCCCGGAAGGTGGCATTATGCCAGAGGTCGGCGCAGCCGAGGTGAAGTCCCAGGTTGCCACACAGTCGGCCCGTATCATAAGGATGCGCAATAAGGGTGCAAGGGTCTTGGAAGGCCGTTTTGAGGCTTGTTGGGCGGGGCGCGGCCAACGAACGTGGCCAAGGATGGGCCGAGGATGGAAGGACGCAAGGGTACCCTTGGGAAGGTTGCCCATCCTTACCATGCGGCATGCGGGTCGACTGCAAGGCCCAGCAGATGGCACTATGCTGGAGGTCGACGCAGCCGAGGCGAAGCGCCCCAGGTTGCCACAGTCGCGCAGGAGGATGCTGCGACGATTGGGACTTCCTACCAGACCACTCCAACCCAATCCGAAGACCCGAATTAGACCCGAATTTCGGGTTGGGGGGGGTACGAGCTTCATAGATGTTTTTTCAATGCTCCCCGACCCCCCCCCACTGGAAATGGAGGGCAAATCGGGACCTTCGGGTTGGGTTGGGGTCGTTTGGTGGGCGGTGAGATGGAGGCCGACGTGGTGGAGGGCACGGCCGACCCGAAGAGCGTGGAGGTGGGCTGGCTCCCGCTGGTCGCGAAGGACTTCTTCCTCGGCGATTGCGACGTGTACAAAACCTCGGCGTCCCGTGCGGCGCAACGGGCGATCTTCGTGATAAGGGCCGTCTTGCAGTTGCAGTAAGAGCGCCAGCAGTAAGAGCGCAGAACGATCAATCCCACTTAGTGGGATAACCGTTTTCTTCCATTCGTGGGCGATTCATCCGAAGAGTTGCCAATCGCGCACACTTCCGCCCACGCGTCCTGCCGGATGCATGGCTCAGTGGTGGTGGTGGTGCAGCTGCAGGGGGCCGTGCAGGCGGGCGACGCACTGGACCTGACTACCTACCAAACCCTCCAAACCCAACCCGAAGACCCGGATTTCGGGTTGGAGGGGGGTACGGGTTCCATGTGTACTTTTTCAATATATTCCCCGACCCCGCCCCTCCCCATTGGAAATGGAGAGCAAATTGAGGCCTTCGGGTTGGATTGGGGTGATTTGGTGAGTGATGAGGACCCGCGAGGCCGAGCCTGTCGCGGATCAGAGCAGTCTCGCGGAGGATACCGTGAGCGTGAAGGGACTGCTGGCGATCGCCGTGGCGGCCCACGCAGGAGTCCGTGACAGACGCCACGGCCGAGGCCACCATGGCGGGGCTCATGGAGGGGTCCGTCGCAAACGACTCCGGCAGCGTGGAGGGTCTCATGAAGGAGCCCGTGGCCCTGGGGGGGCTCATGCAGGGGGCCGTCGTGCAGGCAGTGGCCGGAGTGAGCGGTGAAATCACCGAGCGCTGGGCGGACCACGCCGATGCACTGTCCATGGTGGTGGTGGAGTCCCTGGGCCTCGAGAGCGAGAGCCAGCGCATGCAGGAGGGGGGCGCAGCGCTGCCACGCCGACAGCGAGGGCATGCTGCAGGCGCAGGGCTTCGCAGAAGACAAGGCAGAGGAGAGCTCGCACGGCGGCGTGGAGGGGCTTATGAAGGAGTCCACGCCCGAGCCCACCCAGGAGCAGCCCATGGGGAGGCTCATGGAGGGGCCCGTGGTGCAGGCCGAGGTTGCGAATGAGGAGTGCGCGGGTGATTTTCAGCCAGAAGGTCCTGGCGGAGCGCTTCGGGAACACTCTGGGAAGGGTGGTGCCGAGGCCGAGGCGGGCTCGGACAAGCAGTTCCTGGTGGAGGCCTTCGTGAAGAGCAAGCTGGAGTTGCAGGCTGCGACGGGCAGTGTGCTCGCTGTGCTCCCCGACGATGGTTCCGGAGCGTCCGATGGCTTTGGGGACGCCGTCGACCCGAAATATGACAATGAGCAGGGGGAGCAGCCCTTGCGGAGCTTTCCGAAGGTCGCGGTGCACGCGATCCCAGGGTCCGACGGCTTCGAAGATGGCGTCGTCGTAGCGCTCGTCGACGAGAAGGGGTCAAGGCTGAGGCTGATGGATCCGATGGGTTCGCGAAGAAAAAAAACTACATAAACATAAACTTGTGGCACTCCGCGCGGATTTCTTGGATCTGCGCTGACCCCCCTCC